AGTGACAGCTTGCGATAAATCATTCTCTGAAAGTGATCTCTCCAAGAGACTAGAATTGAATGAAGAATCATGATCCCTCGTTCTCTTTATGTCTGGACTATAGAGCGGTATGTATGCTAGACCAGTCTGGTCTAACAGTGAACGGCTGATGGTTTCTTGCTTGTCATTGCCAGTTTTAATAGCATTTCTGTTGAAAGGACATATGCCGGTTACTTCAAAGCCACTTGCAATGTTTCTCTGTGTCATTGACCTTCTCCATGCATCAGCAAATAATACAGAGAAATCGTATCTGGTTACCACACGACCAGGGTTTTTAGTGCAGAACTCATGACACACAGCCTTCCAAGCAGTTTTTAATGGCCCAAAACACCCTTTGTCAAGTGGCTGTGTTAAATGAGTGGTATTGGGTGGCAATACAAATATTAAAATTTGCTCTTCAGCTGCTATCTTGATAAGGTCAGGACCATAATGAGTAGAATGACCATCCATCAGGAGAAGGAGAGGACGTACCCTAGGAACACTCGTTAAAAACAGCTTACGAAACCAGTACAAAAACAGCTCTCTACTGATCCATCCATTTGGAGATGAGCCGTAAAGTGTACCTGGTATTTCTCCTACCATTAGCTGATCATTAAAGGTCTTACGATCAAATATTACAAATGGAGGCAACGGTACTCCAGCTGCACAAGTGCATGCCAGAACTGTGATTTGAGACTTCCCTTCTCCAGTGATTTGACTGACATTCTTAGCTCCACGACCACTCACAACTTTCAAAGATTTAGGATTCAATGGGAGTCCTGTTTCATCACAGTTGAATATGCGAGTTGGATTGTTGAATAGAGAATTTTCTTTAAGTGTATCTTCAAGTATATCAAAATACTTTTGTATGACACTATTATCAGTGGCCATGGCTCTCGAAAGACTTAAAGGCACAGCAGTACGAAGTGATAATTCACTGTGCCTACTACAAAATTTCTGCCACCATCCATAAGAAATTGAGACGTCACTTAAATCCTTTGACTGAATTGTTTGTCTTACTAGTGCAAGAACTTCTGAAACTGTGCGGGGAAATCCAATCTGAGAACATTTGATTAAAAACTTAGCCAAAATAACCTCTTCTTCTTTTGTAAGATACGGCACTGGGCCAGGTTTAGTTCTATGTTGAACATTTCCCCTGATCCTGTCATAAAGTGTTGATTTGGGAATGCCATATAGCTCCGCTGCAAGTCTAACTGTCAACCCCTCTTCTTCAACTGCTTTGATAGCATTCGTCATGCTTATTTCAGGCCATGTAGAGTATGTACATGGGCGTGTCGCCATCTAAAAAAGACATTAACATAAAAAATTGATTATCATACCAATGACATGTAAACATGGGGAAAAGGCTTGGTGCTAGATTGATGTACCTTTATTTTACAGAACTAAAGCCTGAGCAATTTGCACCTTGCATGCACTATGGCTAC